TTTTTTTTTTTTTGATAAAATAAATAATATTTGCGTATGGAACTAAAGAGCCGCAGGTTGCCGACCCCTGTGCTAGTGGATATTATAGTAAAACTAATCACCATCGGAACTATTATCACCCAACAAGAGCTTCATCAGGAAACCACCTTTTATCACCAGGTGTTTATGCAACTCGCGCTCGTTATGTGAACTCTCTTTCTCTCCGCGACCAACTTTAGAACCTCTGTATCTTATCCAATTTATCTTTAATTAAATCCTAGTTAATTGTTAAGTGTAGTTCGAGTCTCTTCCACATGCTGTCTCTCGATCGGCTGACATTACGAATCCGTCTGTCCACTTACGTGACCGCTCGCGCGACTATGTGACGTAGTGATTGCCGTCTCGGCTTCCGTGTTCCTATAAACACGGTGGTGTCAATCCTGACAGGGCACTAAAGAGGTGTCGACCCGAAAGGTCACACTGGTGTAGATAGGTCACCAACCAACTCAAGGTGGACAGCCTTTGTGGAAAAACATACAAATATAGCAACATAGCACTTTGAAGATCTAACACAGTGTTTCTCAACGGGGCGATATCGCCCCCATGTGGGCGTTTTTCCATGTTGAGGGGGCGATTTGTAACAATTTATATTTTGGTGCGCGAAAAACAATTTTCTGGCCATATAGTAAAACATTATATTAAGAATAATTAGATATTTTATTCGTTATATCGTACAATAATTAAACAAATAACATTATACTAGTCCGTTCAATGCAGTACGAATTTGGCGTTAGCGTTGGCCCTCGACATCGGAATTTTGAAGTGAAGGGGGCGATACTACGTAACGGTTTCATTGAAGGGGACGATACTACGTTGAAGGGGGCGACGATTCGTTAGAGGTTGAGAAACACTGATCTAACACCTCTCACCTCATAACTTAAATAAGGACCAGCATAATCTAATCCAGTAATAGTGAAGGGCCTACTGGGTTGAACTCTAGGGGCTGGTAAATCACCCTTTTAGCTGAGAGGCAGTTCTTCCCTTGGTTCTTACACAAGTGACACACTTACGTATAATATTATGAACTACACTTCTTCCGGACAATATACAAAACTGCATTCTAAGAATACTCAAGAGCAAGTCTGCTAGCTTGTACGTAAACAATGTGATAGTACGTCATGATAAGATTTGTGATATGAACTCTTAGAGGGAAGCAAGACTGGATGTCGTCGTGTTTCAGGTATATTGGCATTCTTTATCTGACCTCCCACGCGAATAACACCTATAGCATCCAAAAAGGGAGCCAGTTGAATTATTCTACTGAGAACGGGGTTTATTATTCTCCTGTTTAACTCCTTTCCTAATCTTAAACAAGACATCTCAGTAAAATATGATTGTTGAACATACTTAATTATTGAAATAATGGCTGCCTTTAGTTCACTAGTAGTTAGAAAACCATTTAAACGTTTCGCTGGAGGGTTGCGGCAATTATACAGAAACCTCAAACAAAAGGACACGACGCAACATAATCTTAACCATGATGAAAAATTTTTAAATATCCCATCTTCTTCAACTTTACAGGTAGCCT